AATATGTGTGTGTGTGTGTGTGTGTGTGGTGTGTGTGTGTGTGTGTGTGTGTGTGTGCGTGTGTATGTGTGTCTGTATTTGTGTGTGTTTGTATGGGTGTATGCGCGTGTGTGTGTGTGTATGTGTGTGCGTTTATGTAAATGAGCGCATATGTTCAGTATTAGTCTATCGCCATAGCCTTTCGATCCCCGTAGGGCGCCTATTCCCACGGTTGCATAATATATAAACAATTTCTCGTAGAATGTAACTTGATCAAGGCGAACAGGTGTGGCTATCATCTGCCGTCTACCTGGTGTGTGAAAAACTCAGATTCTGAATTATGGAGTCTAGGCTACAAAAAGAAATATTTATCAGGTTTTATAGGCCTTACAGATTTTATTTTGTATGATTTTATTATTTTATTTATTTTAACGGGAATATAATAGACAGATGGTAAGAGTATTATTTCCTTTTAGATGGTGATGCGAATAGAGAATTATTAAGTAGATATTTTTGAATATTTCCTTTGTGAGTACTAAGTTTATCGGTTGTTCCTCAGAATTAATAATCCTTAATATTATGACGGTAATAGTATTGTCTATAGGCCTATGAATAATCCTGAATATCATGATAGTATAGTCTAAGTCTATAGGCCTATAGGCGCAGATCTCGATTTCCTTCTCATTCTCAACTTTTATTACACATTGTCTATATTTCTTTGCTGTTGGTTATCAATCTCTAACAAACATTAACTTTAATACCACTCGCATACACGTATTTACAATTTAATACATTCAATACATTTAATACATTTAATACATTCAATATACAAGTAAATACATTTAATACATCATACGCATTTATATTCACCCTCGGGGAAAGGCTAGATCAGTAGCAACTCGAGGAGGTGTCATGGCGTCCGTTTTGATAATTGTTCAATGGAAATATAACCATTAAAATCATTATTTTCCATCCTTTTTTAGAAATTGAAAAGGCCAAAATTATCGAAAATGTTCACAAAGCATCCGTAATTTTTGTGACGTCATCAAAATAACCCCCCCCTTTTTTTCTTTTTCAATATATAGAATCAGACGCATGAACCTCTCTCGAGGTTACTGATCTGCCTTTCCTTCACCCTTTCGTGCTCTGATAAGCTTACACGAACAGCTGATCACAATACACAGTTTCCCATCAATTAATTCTGTAGTACTAGTTTACGATCTATATTTATCAAGCGATAAATCATTGTATTTAGACTCTCGCCAATTAACCTTTGCTCTGGTTAAACAAGAAGAAGAAGAAGAAGAAGAAGAAGAGAAGAAGAAGAAGAAGAAAAGAAGATAATAGAAGAGAAGAGAGAAAAGAAGAAAGAAGAAGAAAAGAAAGAGAAGAAGAAAAGAATGAGAAAAATAAAGCATAAGAACAAATAGAAGAAATAGACGAAGAAGAGGAGGAAGAAACATAATAATAATAATAATAACAAGAAGCCATATTTCGCGTAAGTTTTGTTCTGTTAGGTTTAAGAGACACGTTATAAGATGTAGTGTTGCATGTGTTGTATCTTAAGTGTGTTGTTTGTGAAGGTATGTATGTGTGTGTGCGTGTTATTCATGTATGTGTTTGTGCTTGTGAGAGTAAAAGTAGGTTTGTTTGTGAAGTGTGAGTGTGTATATTTGTTTTTTTTTTATAATTATGATTATTATTGCTTTGTTATTATTATTGTTATATTAATTATTATTAGTAGTAGTAGTATCATTATTATTATTATTATCATTATCATTACTATTATTGTTATTATCATCATCATCATCATTATCATTGTCATTATTAATATTATTATTATTATCATCATTATTATTACCATCATTCATATTATTATTAATTAGCACTATTTCATTGTTATTCTGATTGTGTGCGTGTGTATGTGTGTTTGCGCGCGCGTGTGTGTGTGTGTGTGTGCGTGTGTGTTTGTTTGTGTGTGTGTGTGTGTGTGCATGTATGTGCCTGTGTATGTATAAATGTATGTACGTAAGTGTATGTACCTGTGAATATGCATAACGTCATTTGAAAGATAATGAAAGACAGGTTTTTGATTAGAGAGAAAGTTCAAGCGTTATCTCAATTTTTTTTTTTTTTTTTTTTTTTGACTTGAAACAAGTGCGAAACGAGAGGAAAACAAGGTGGATAGAAATTCAGAGAAGGAGAAAGCAAGAACGAAAAAAAGAGGGATGGAAAGTGTTGAGAAAGGGTGACGCAAGGGAATCCGAGGAAAGTCTTGAGATTAAGAGAAAGAGAGGAAGAGAGAAAGGGAATGAGAGAATGAGAGGGAGGAAGAGAGAGGGAGGGGAGGGAGGGAGAGGGAGAGGGGAGGGAGGGAGAGAAAGGGAGGAGGGAGAGAAAGGGAGGGAGGCGAAGGAAGGGAGGAGAGGAAGGGAGGAGAGAGGGGAGGGAGGGAGGGAGGGAGGGAGGGGGAGGGAGGAGGGAGAGAGAGCAGAGAGAGAGAAGAGAGAGAGACGAGAGA